CCGGTTCGRRTGAAACCGGATCGGCTGCAAGCGGYTCTTCTTGCGGAGGTAGCTGGGCTGACCCGTTGGTGTTGGGGTTGATGTCGTCGTCGTCTCCTCCGGCAAACCGGTCTGCACCTCCCGACTTGGCAGAAATACCGCGCAGCAGCGCCAGGAGTTCTTCGTCRTGGGCATCCCCCCCTCGGTCTCCCGAAAAGTTGGATTTTGGTTKCTGAAAGTTTYCTCCTCCGCCCAGAACGGCTTCCGGAGCCACCGGAGGTGCTGCTTGTTCTTTCGTTGCCGGCGGCGGCTTCGGAGCTGCCACAACTACGTCTATCACGCCATCGTCCTCGGTTGTTGCCGACCGGGATTGCCTGGCRTTTTTCCCTCGTTTCCACGGGGGAAGATCGCCACCGCAGTTTCCTTTGTGCAYGCCGGTAGTTTTGGGTGAATCTTTCTCCTTCTTTTCTTCCACAAGTTCGAAAGTCGGAGCCGCCTCGGACGCTTGCGGCAGTGGTTCTGCGACATTGGTTTCGTCGTGGTCGTCTCCTCCGGAAAAGCGATCCGCGCCGCTCGACTTGGCGGAAACCCCGCGAAGGAGCGCCAGTAGCTCCTCATCGTGGGCATCYCCTCSTCGCTCTCCCGAAAAGTTGGATTTGGGCTGGGAGAAGTTTCCTCCTCCCCCCAGCGTCGTTGGAGGGGCCGGTGTGGGTGGTTCCGAGGGTTCTGTCSCGACGGAATACGGTTCTTTCGGCAGCACCGCTTTCGCGGGAGAGGGKTTTGGCYTGGCCGCCACGAYGATCGTGTCGCGGTTGGAAGCGGATCCGAACGGGGATTCCGTGTTCGGAGAGGGAGCGGCTTTCCCTCGCTTCCACGGAGGAATTTCGTTGTTGTTGCGCTTTCGTGGCGACGGTGATTTCGTTGTGACCGTCGGGAGTTGCGATGTCGGCCGGCRTATCTCGCGTTTGTCCGGTAGAATTTCGTTGCTGTTCTCGAGAACAGAATTGTCGCCATTGTCGTTGCCATTGACGWTRACGTCGTTCTCCTCTTCCCCTCCCGAAAACCGATCGGCAGCTCCGGAATTCGCCGAAACCCCCCGCAACAAGGCGAGGAGTTCTTCGTCGTGGGCATCTCCTCCCCGTTCTCYCGTAAAGGTCGACCTCGTGCCGCTACCAATGCCCGTGGATGGGGGCAGCGCCGATCGTGGCGATTCGGAMGGCACCTCCGACGGCAACTCGGTAGGTGCCGCCGCTTTTGCCGGGGATGCCCTTTTCGGTGGGGGACTGGCGACCACAATATCGGCGTCGTCGTTCTCGCCAAAGGGTTGGACGTTCCTGGGCTTGGCCCTGCCCCGCTTCCAGGGGGGAAGGGTGTTGGGGTCCCGCGAGGAAACCCCGCGCCTGGAGGTCCGGGCCGGAGGTTTCGGTTCGGGAGCGGCGGGCATTGGTTCTGGTTCGGGTGCCGACGCTGGGGCCGGGGGTTCCTCCCCGCTGTCGTCCTCACCACCGGCAAACCGATCGGAGGCCCCGGAGCTAGCCGAAATGCCCTTCAGCAGGGCCAGCAATTCGGCGTCGTGGGCGTCTCCGCCGCGTTCTCCCACAAACAGCTGGGTCATGCTTCCAACACGAATGGATCGAATCAAATCGATCGAATCAATCAATCAATCAATCAATCGAACCCCGGTGGGAATTGCGTTCGGATATCTCCTTCTGGCTTACGGATTTGGTCTCGATTCGGGCAGCGACGTGGGCAAGGAGCAGGAAGGCTAAGATGTGTGCTGCTTGTTCCGCTTGGCTCCGGTGTTGCTTTGGGTTGGTGGTTCTTTGATTTGTGCCTCAAGTTTTCATTTTGGATTGGTAGTTTCAAAACCGCCACGGATTGTTCCTTGTAGCTWGCAGTACTGCTCGTACAAGCAGGGCAAATAGTCGTGAGAGGGCACTGTCATTCACCCTACTTGTACTCGTACTTASTACGTACAGTACAGTACGTAGTTTTTTCAAGCATCATCGATATCTATTCAAAAGCGCTTCATCGAGCCGGCACGCCCAAAGAAAATGGAACTAAAGCAGTCTTCCTCCAAACGGTCGGAAATCATAGAAGTACTGATATGTGTGGTACCGGTACAGAGGTTATGTGCAAGATACAGCAAGTAGAGGGGCAACAAATGGTGCAATTGAAGTAACTACGGACGATGTCCAAAACCATAGGAAGGAGAGCTTCATGGTCAATTCTGAGTAGCCGAATGGAAGGAGGACTATCAAAAAGAAGGTGGACAGAGCAAAGAACCACTATCAGGCAACTTTTAGTTGAGGAGATATGAAAAAGGCAACTTTGGGCTTCTGACGAGGTTGGATGGAATGGAACCAAATCACTACTACTAGTAGTAGGAGCAACGTCCAAACCATAGAAAGAAAGAGAGTTTCCTGGTCAATTCTGAGTTGACAAATCAAAAGAGGACTATCAGAAGAAGGTGTACAGAGCAAAGAACCACTACTATCAGGCAACTTGGTCTTTTGGTTCAGAACTTAAGTGCAACAAGAGACTGGAACAAGGGACAGGGGCCAGAAATGGTGCAATTGAAGTAACTACTACTAGCAACATCCAAATCCATACTAGGAAGGAGAGCTTCCTCCTGCTGCTGGTCAATTCTGAGTTGACGAAACAAAAGAAGACTATGAAAAGAAGGTGTGCAGAACAAAGAAGAACTGCTATCAGGGGTTTTTTGGTTGAGAAATTACGCAAAGAAGACTGCTGACTGTTCTATATGGTTTATTGTCTATATTTCCAAAGCAAGCAAGGAAACATAGATGATACACTTAGTACTAGGGATTTTGCTATGAGCAGGAGCCATGATTTCATTTTAAACTAAACAATAGAGGTAGTATATTGAATAGGAAACAAAGAATTAGTACGCAATAGATTCATTTAAAACACTTCAGTAAAACAGGAATAACTACCACTGCTGAAAGCTCTAAGAGGAGAGCCATGGTGGAGTTTAGAAAGCTCAAAAGGAATCATACAAATCCGTTTCCCTTTTTATGCAGGCCTATGTAGAATCCTACCACAGTACTTATTCTACATTTGAGTGAATCCTACTTAAGTACATATTTACCAAGGAATATTTTGAGTTTTTTGTTGAATTGATCAGTTGCTTTGTTGAAGTTGTTGATCAAAACAGTCTTCATGAGACCATTAAAAGGTGCTCAAGAACCGGCTCAAATGAGATCCCCTTTGGGGATATGCTTGGTCATAGTGTTAAGAAGAGTGCTGTGTGTCATTGTTACATGATTACTAGGGGCCAGGGGGGAGCTGGTTCTCCATTAACACCCGGTACGGCCAAAATTGGCCAGTTTACAATAGTAGAAGAGCCTGCTGGTTAGAAAATAGGCCAGATCTTTATCAAAAAACAACTTTAGTAGACACCCAGACTAACAAGCGCACCTTCCAATTTGATACAATTACTTGGAGATCCATGTCATTGGGATGCTTCACCACGATGCCCTGGCGACTTAGAACTGGTCTGCTGAAGTTACACCAGTGGTTGGCCAAAATCGCACCTTAATTTTCGATGTAAATTTACTCCAATTAAACTCCTACCGATGATTTTGTAGTGGTTTATGTTTACGGTTTACCGGTACCGCTGACAGACGAGGCCGTTGTACTTTAACCAACTAGGACCGTCTGACTGCTGGTTTCGGATCGTTGACACGGTCCTTTCCATCCAAGTGAAGAAGGAAAAAGGCGACGCCGAAAACCGTTCCGAGTCGCTGTTCATACCTGTTCCCGCACACGAGCATTCATTGTACGGAGATTTGACACCAAGGCAAAACATGCTGCTATGAAATGAAGCAGTTGGATCGTCATAATGTTTGCATCCGTTGATGCTGAATGCTTCTAGTATGGACTCTTATTTTGGACACCAACGGGATGATTGCTGGTACAGCGACGAAGACGAAGGCAGCCTATCATCCCGATCCACCGATGAAGTTCTGAGCGAAACCTGGCTCGATTGTCTTGCGAATCGATACGGGTACTCAAAGATCGACGCCTCCTCGTCGGCCACACCCATGGCATCCTACCGCCGAGGAGCATGCCGGTTGAATTTCTGGCTGACCACGGGGACCGTTGGATCGTATCTCGAGCACCCTAGGCAGGGGAAGACCCAGTTGTTTCGCAGAGGTATCGACCGYGATGAGGCGGAAAACATTTTTGAAAATCCCAGGATGCATACCGGAAGAGGTTATCATACTAGGAATGGCAATGGTGGCAGTCGAGGCCCTTGTCGGTACGGGCAGGATTGCCATAGGGCCGATTGCTGGTTCGAYCACTAAAAGAGTGGAATCTTTGGTCGAGGCATGCAGGCAAATGTGTAGATAGCTCCGTGGCGTCATCCAGTCCAAGCGCTTGCACCACGCAGGTACCGGTGTGCACACAACGGTAACACAGTGGTCCCGTCATAATAATTTACAATTAGTTTCTCTGAAAGTAYATGCAGTTTGTTTTGTATTTCGTGGGTGTTTAATGTACCGTTTGCTCTTGGCCAGAGCGCATCATCACTTGCGTGATGTTTTCCATCAATAATTTTCGTTGTGATTCGGGGTACTGTTATTGATTCTATTCATATTTGCTTGCCAATAAAGGCAAGTCTGTTTTGTATAGACCTCTTCCTCTTCTCTTGCACCAATCCTCAACGTACAACATCGAAAACAATGCGTTTGGAAGGGACGTTTCAAAACTTCTTTGATTTCCTTCTCCCGTGCCTTTTGAGACCAACCCCCTGTGACTGCCAACACGATTCTCGTCCAACAAACATGAATACAGTATTACATATTACATTATTGTTCATAAACTACAAGAAGAACAWCAACGAAGAAAAGATGACCATAAAGTTATCTGAAATGTATGACCGCTAATATTAATGCAACAATACCACTGATCGAAAAGCTGGCCARTAAGTGCTGGATCCCGATGCGTTTGTTCCTCAAWCATTACTCATATTCTTTCCAAAGCGTAAATGTGAARTCATCTGAATCTTTGTATTTTGCATGTGCACCATATACCTCTCTGATGARCTTTTCAAGTGATAAAGGACTTGTTCATTTTGGTCTTCGCTAGAGCAACTTCAAGGCTACTTTCATCCTCTCTTTTGACTCATCATGAAGTGCTGTGTCCTTCAACTTTAAAAATTCTTCCATATCCAACATTATGGTGCTTCAAACTTCGTACCATTGTGTCAAGTTGTCTCACCAACTTTCTCCKCAAACTCCAGAGCTAAGGATTTGACGATGAGGCAAGAAAGGYCGCAATCGTCCTTTTGGAACTTCTGCCTCTTCGACTGCTTTCATCACTCTTAAAAATTTCTCGTCGAGTTGTTGAGTGGCTTGTACAGTTTAAGTCGTTGCAAAAATTGGCCCAGTCAAGTCGAGGATTCCCATTGGTGTTTTTCTTGAACCCTTCTTTTTCGATAACTTTKGAGGCATGGTTAATCGATTGGTTTGAATTGTTTTCATTCTTCATTCTCTTTTTTTCCGAGATGAAGTAATGATTCGAAAATGGGAGAGATATTTGGAAAAATACCACTGTTCAGTGATGCATATGGTACTGGGGTTATCAACTTTTCCCTTCGTACAAATCGGGACAACCKTGCAAGTTGTCGTCAATGGTGGCCATGCCGTGTCGCAGCGTGCGATGCATCATGCACCGTTTCTTCTTTTTGAATGGCGCCATATCCGTCGTTCTCTCCCCTACTATCGGTTGGAAAAAAGCTTGAGTCGCACGGGCACAGAACGCATCGCGGTGGTGTTCGCACAGCGCGCCCCATTTGGCGGCACAAGACGTGTTCCGCTCCAGTGCAYATACTGGCGTGTGGTGCGTTCTTGTGCGGCGCTACTCCTTCGCCGGTTCGTAGATGCCGAGCATGTGTCCGTCGGGAGATCGGAGGGCCGCAATCTTTCCATGGGCCGGGTATTGAATCGGACCGTCGAGGTTCCCGCCGAGCTGAACGCACTTGGCGATCACCTGGTCCATGTTTTCGACCTGGAATTGCAACAGGGGAGAATAGCCCGTCGTGACCTGGGCCTCGGAGGTAACCGCGCGGAGGCAAATGCTCAGTGGCGGTGCGGTTGCWACATCGGAGCCGGGACGCGGACTGGCTGGCGGCGTCGTTCTGAGATCCGCCCACTCGTCCGTCACACGAACCGCACTTAGGCCGAGCCCCGCCGTGTAAAATTCCAAGGCTTTGGTCAGCCCCTCTCCCGAACGGACCATCAGAACGACCCGTGAAAGGTGAGCGAGCATGATCGGAATCAAGTGTTTGATAGCTACTACTATTTTTTATTTTTTGCGATTGTTACCAATGGACTTGCTAGCTTACCGACGCGACTTTCAATTTCGTTTTCTGGATTTCTGGATCATCGGTTTGATGCGTACAGAATCGTACGTACGGTACGTACCGTGCTTGGTACGTTCTCGTTCCGTTGTGACATWGCAAAACAGTACGATAGGATAGGATACCGTACGGTACGATACGGTATGTAYGTACGGTACTAGCGCAACACGCAACAGAACATAGTACGGCACGGTACAGTAGTACAGTATGTACGTACTATTGTAGAGTAAAAGTAATTTCAATCACTCGCACGTGTGAGGCTAAAAAGTCACGGTTGCGGGTCAAACAAAAAAGGGGGAAATATGAAATATGGAGTACAAGTTCATTCAATATACTMTTCGTACATACGATACATACGAGTATGAGAATAATAATGAAATTTTAAGTATTGTAGAGTTGTTCAATCATACGTACGGTAAAAAAATGATCAGCTCGGTGGATTGCTGTGGTATCGAACCGTCGTACTCGTATGGGGTATGTACGCGCACAGTTACTATGATGACCATATGATGTCGTCTTTGCTCTTCGAATGCTAAGTTGAAGARAAGAATATGACGCAATTAACAGTCATAGATACCGATTGGAAAAAGCCTATCACAGGGAAGCACGTAAGATCTAATTGCAGTMTGGACAAGATAGACCTTCGCCAATCACCAATTCTTTCTCTTCCTCGATTCAGGCATTGGTTTCCACAACTCAGTGAGTCGTGAGCGCCCGTCGGGTTACTAAAAACAGGCCATCACTGGTTGTCAGTAGGGAACGAATGAAAATCGAGAAGCGAAACAGATGGAATTCCTGCTGTTAGAGTCGCGTTTCAGAACTTCGTAGAAATTTTGAAATTCTGCACTTCACAATACAGTATCGGCGAATCACAACAAGAAATGCTGATATCGGATAGATGTTCTTCCTCCATTTCATACCGATGGATTCTGATACGAAACAAAAAATATTGTATCGTCTGTCGAGACACATTTTCTACAATTCCAACAGCACCAAACRACGACATCTGGAACAACCGACGAAATAAATTTCAAAACCGAGMAAGCCGTCATGAAATTTTCGGGTTCTTTTGTCTTAGCAGCATGCATCTTCGCTACGGTAGCTGATACTTCTTTCGTTGATGGGTTCGTTCCTCTTTCGGGCGTGAAAGCGCCGTCGTTGTCGACACGACTCCATTACGACATCCAGCGAGACCCGCAGCCTAATGATAATGTTTGGGCAATCCTATCGAACACGGAAAAATGGATCGCCAACACCCTGGCCGACGCCCAAACGGGAAACTCYAACCCACTGAGTCGAAAGGAAGTGAGCTATGTCTGCGAGACTTCCAATGACCCKGCGATGATCCTAGCCAATATTTTTCGAAAAGTCAAGGAGGCCCGGCAATTAGGAGAATCACACGCACAAGATCAGGAGGCGCTTATTGACGAAAAGGGAGGTGAGTGTGTCGCCCCGGTTTTTTTTTTCCAAAGGGATAATAGGAATATTATCGGTCGTCACTGATGCGTCGGAATGAATTGATGTTTACTTTCCATCCGAGTTGCATTCGATATTCTAAAGGCTTTCTTTACGTGTAAACATATTCGTATCTCATCATTCGTTTGGTACTTCATTCTTTTTTATTTTCCTTCAACCGATTCATTGAAATGCCGATTTTATTTTGAACTGGTGACCACAATACATATTTTGCACACGTATCATCATTTTTCGCACAAACTGTCTACCACAGAAGACAAGCACAACCGTATTACTCTGCGACAAACGCAAGTTTTGGTAATTCCCGCTAACGAGGAACTAAATCAAAGCTTTCATGTGTTTGACGCAGTCATCAACGCTGTCAACGCGGCTCGAAAAGCTGCACGGGATTTGGTGACGGATCATTCTTTGGAAAAACTGGACGAACAGATGTACGGAGAAGCTGAGGATCGGGATTGGGTGTAAGTTTTTAAATTTTTGTGGCTATGAATTGGGAGAGATTGACCGTGTGTAATGATGCAAAACAGTGTACGGAAGGGACGCGGTATTTACTCCGCTGAAAGGAGTCGTACACTCACATTTCGTTCTCGTTCGTTTCCAACCCCACAACACCCATCGTATGATAGGGTTTCCGTGAACTGCGCCCATTTGCACCCAGAGTACGGGAAAAAGACTCCTCAGCAAGAACTCAAAGAGATGCAAGAGGAAGAAGAGGAAGGAGAAGTGGACTTGAATTTGAAGGAATACAAGAGACAACGGATTCTTGCACGACGATCCCCTTACCCATCGGTAGTCATTGAGGTTCGAAGCATGGCTCCCCCCGAATTTGCCCCTCCGCCGCCATCGGGCCCTGTCTCGCCAAAGTCGATTGACGAGATAGATGTTGAAAGCGAAGAAGGCGAAAGCTCTTCTGGTGCAGCCGATGATAAAATCGATGCCGATGTTGTCAACAAACTTGAAGCTCTTTTTTCCAAATCGAGTCTAGATAGCGACAGGACCGAAGAAGGCGACTTTTACGAGTCCATTGGAAGTCACATCGAGACCTTTTCCTCGGTCACCCCTTTGATGGTGGCTCAAAACTGGATCAACAAGAACGATGCTAGCTTCGAAATTACGCAGTGCGCGTTTACCGTCAGCGATGCCACCTACGTAGACGAAGCCTATGAGTTTGTCTTCACGAATCTCGGGATGCAAACCTCGCAGTTTTTAGAGAGTACAGGTAGCACCGGAGGTGCAGCGTCCAAGGCACAGGCCAAGGACGTCCAAAAACGACAATATATGGTCCTACCCCATTTTCTGAGCAGTTCCGCTACTAGCCTCGAAAAATTCACCACCCAAGCTACAGAGATCATCAGAACGCTACCCTCTATTAGCGACAAGGTCGAGCTCACCTGCTTTCATCCAGAAGCCGTGGACGAGGGAAAACGTTGTCCTGTCCCAGTGATCGTTTTGCAATGGAAGGGAGACTAGAAAAAGTAAATGTAATTATTAATCAAAAATCTGAGCATGCACGCATTTGTACGATAGACCTTATGTTTCATATTTCGTCTTAAAAATRGAGATGACGTGAAAG